GAGGAGCCCCCTCTCCCTGGTCAGTTGGAAATGTGGAAGTCCAGAACCCATGCTCAGCCTCTATGCCTTCTCCAGGAAACATCAGACTGAAGAACCTTCTGCAGGGGGATGGAGGCCTTGGCTCATGAGTGAGTTTAAGTGGGTGCAGGAAGAGCACAGAGCTGTGCATGCTGGCCAGATAACCTGTGCTACATGTAACTATCACAGGAGAAGCCCTCCCACATGCCACACCTTTCTGACTTTTCTTTCTGTGCCTATGTCAGTGGCAAAGCTTAGAACATGCCATTCTAAGAGTTCAGATAACATGACAGAAAACAAACATCAAGCCTCATGTGGTGGTGCACAGCTAAGAACCCAACGCTTGGGACATGAGGTTCAAGAGTTCAAGGCCTACCTGGGTGGCCTTTAATCCCAGCACTTGGATGCAGAGGCAGGCAGATCACTGTGAGTTTGAGGCCAGTCTGGTCTACAGAATGAGTACCAGGACTGTTAGAGAAACCCTGTCTCAGGAAGAAGAAGGAGGAGGAAGAAGAAAGAAAGAAAGAAAGAAAGAAAGAAAGAAAGAAAGAAAGAAAGAAAAAGAGTTCAAGGCTAGCCTGGGCAATATAGTGTAGCAACCACGTGTCAGAAAGCCAAGAGTTGAGGTTGAAATTCAGTGGTTAGGGTGATTGCCTTTCATTGTTCAAAGCTCTGTGTTCTACCTTTGGCATTTCTGGGTAAAATGCTGTTTGCTATAATCTCAGCACTCAGGAGCAAAGGCAACAGAATCACCATGAGTTCAAGGCCAACCTGGGCTACATAGAAAGACCCTGTCTTAGGCCCCCCCACCAAGAAAAAATGGGCTGAGAATCTAGCTTAGTTGATAGTGTTAGCCTAGCCTGTACAAGTCCTGAGTTTATCTCTAGTTTCATATAAACTGGGCATGGCTGCACCATGTGTAATCCCAACACCTGAGAGAGAAGTAGGAAGATCAGAGGTTCAAAGTCATTCTCAGCTAATAGTGAGTTGGAGGCCAGTCTGGGCTACATGAGACTCTATCTCAAAAACAAAAACTTAAATAAACAATATAACTCAACAAAAAACAAAACCCTTCTCCAGGCCCACCTCTCCCCGGCAACAACCACTGCCCCCCTACAACCCTGCTCAGATATCACCTGCTGCCTGTGCCTGCCTGTCTGTGAATGCCTTTAAGGAAACAGCAAAGTTATGAACAGCTGACCCAGATTCCCAAAGTGACCGAGGACGTCTCCTGGCAGTTGAGGAAGTGCTGGGATGAATTTAAATGTTACTCTCTGAAGCAGAAAAATGGCAAGGTCAGGCAGCTTTGACCCAAGGTGGGGGCTGGGTGAGGGTGTTGGTGCCAGCATTCTCCGAAGGCCACAGCCCCAGGCAGGCAGGATGCAGCCAGTTCTTGGCTTCTCCTTCAAGCTTCAGGCCATTCCCTACAATGTCTGCAGAAGCATGTATGCTTTAAACCTTTAATTACCCTGTATTTTATCCCGACCTCATGACCTGATTTTTTCTATCCTTGGAGACCTACAAAGTAGCAATAGAATTGTCTGTTTCAATCCTAACACTCAAATGAGGGCATGATCCTCAAGGAAAAAACAGGAACATCTGGAAGCAGGAAGGAAGCTGCGACAGACATATCATCAGCCAGGGCCAGTGTTCCCCTTGTCCCTTCATCTGCCACGGTAGAAATGGGGAAAGGGGACAGGCCAGTCACACACAAGAGTGTGTATTGGCATGAGACTCACCTCCCTCCTCCCAAACTCCAGGGGATATAAATGATTCAGGAAATTCCCATTTCCCACAGGCTGCTCCAAACCAGTGACCTCGTATGGGAAGATTACTAAGGCTGGCAGCTGTGAGGCGTCTGGTCGGTCAACTATGGCTTCATAATTCACTGATGACTATGCCGAGGGTGCTTGACCCCTGAGGACACTGCCAACTTTTCCTGCTTGCCTTGGAGCCTGACCTAGTCTCCCTAGCGAAATCTGACCTTGACTTGCAGAGATACTCTGTGTCTGCAGGGATAGGTGTCCCAGCCCAGCGCACACGGCCTAACAGAGTAGCCGAGTCCAGCCCACACAGGGCAGGACTACAGGGACGGACTGCATTACGCGTTCTACAGGCCTAGAGCACCAGAGACGACGGATGAAGGAAGATGTTAACAGCACACAAAGAACAACAGGAAAGAAGCGCAGTACAGAACAAGCAGAAAGCCCAGCCGTGGAAGGCGTGGCCGGAAGTTCAGGTTACGATAAATAGAGTAAGGGCAGCCTGGACACAGCCGAGGCGCAAACCAGTAGACGGAAGATCTCACAGAAGAAGCTTCCGAGAAGGAAGTGGAGTAAGACAGAAATAGAAAATGAAAATGCCAAGTGATGGGGAGAAAAGGGAAGGGCCAACCAGGCGTGGTGACTCAGGAGTCACGGTCATCCTCCTTTACACAATGTGATAGTTGAGCTGGATGTCAGCTTGGCCTACGTAAGACACAGTCTCAAAACAACAGCGAAAAGGAAGGAATGCCAAGAAAGGGTAGAGAAGAAACAAGTTCCAGGCAGGGGTGATGTGTGCATCTGTAATCCCAGCATTTGAGGAGGAAGCAGGATGACCAGATGTTCCAAGCCAACTTAGCTACATCAGGACATTGTTTTGAATAGAATTTTTCTCCCAATTCTTTTTCAGATTCATTTATCTCTCTCTCTCTCTCTCTCTCTCTCTCTCTCTCTCTCTGTGTGTGTGTGTGTGTGTGTGTGTGTGTGTGTGTGTGTGTGTGTGTGTGTGTAAGAGAGAGAGAGAGAGAGAGAGAATGCTACGCATGTGCAGGTTCCACTGAAGCCAGAAGAGGGCATTGGATCCCTTGGAGCTGGAGTTATAGGCTGTTGAAAGCCATCTACAGTGGTTACTGGGATGAAGTCAGTCCTCTAGAAGAACAACTGCTTAACCACTGAGCGATCGCTCCAACCCCTCTCCCAATCTTTAGTGTAAAGATTTTTATGCTGTAATATTTTTTTGAGACAGGGTCTCCCAGTGTAACCCAGGTTGTCCTGAAATTCACCGAGATTCACCTGTCCCTGCCTCCGGAGCACTAGGATGAAGGGTGTGTGCCACCACATCAAGCTATGCAAAAGCTTTTAAAGCCACACGATTGAATGTTAAACTGAGGCCAGCCTGGGCTAGACAAGACCTATTCTCAAAATAAACAAATAATGGACTTACTAGATTGACTGAAGAGACCAGTGACTGCCTGAGCTATGGAGAGGCAGAGAACTGAGATGCTTCTCAGCCTCAAAGCTGGAAGCCTCAGCACTCCCACTGAGGTGCTGAAAAGTCTAGAAGCTCCCTGGTGGGAATGAACAGTCTGGAATCAGCAAGCAGCAAGTGCTAACCAAAGGAAGCAATGCCAGCTCAAAGACCTTGACAGAGAGACAAAGGAACAGAGCCATGTCACTGAATAACCAAAGGCTCACTTCACCAAGATGATAAAGTAATTTAAAATCAGTATGTAACCAATGATATAGCCTCAAAAATACAGGAATATTTAGAGGAACAGAAGGATACAACCATCAGCTTAATGGGAGACTGCTGTTTTGCTTGGCTGGTTGTTTTCTGATGCTGGTCTTGCTACAGAGTTCTGGCTGGCTTGGAAGTCATTATGTGGCCACAGACTGGCCCTCAAAATGTTAGAATTATAGGTGTGAGCCACCGTAGCCAGCTTTAGGAGATTTCAACACTTCATACTGCACGGGTTTCATTATTTTGATTGTACAAAACTCACTGGTTTGTATGTGCTAAGTAAATACTCTACCACTAAGCTATAACCTCTATATATCAGTCATCCAAATACTACCAAAATGAAAGCGACAATCAAGGGATGACAGACTGAGCGTGATGGCAACACCTTTAATCCCAGCTCTCGGGAAGCAGAGAAAGAGGAGCTCGCTGAGTTCCAGGCCAGCCTAGCTGATTTACATAGTAAGACCCTGTCTCAAAAAAATGTTTTTTAATAAATTCATAGCTTATTAACCAACATATTTTAAAATTTATTTATTATATATAGTATTATACCTGCATATATGCCTACTCATCAGAAAAAGGCACCAGACCTCATTACAGATGGTTGTGAGTCACCATGTGGTTGCTAGGAATTGAACTCGGGATCTCTGGAAGCACAGCTACAAGCAGTGCTCTTAACCTCGGAGTCATCTCTCCAGCCCCCCCAAAAAAACCCAAAAAATATTTCTAATCAAGAAATCTTATCTGGTCAGATGGGACATGCCTTTAGTCCCGTCGCGCCCCGCCCTCCCCCCCCACACCCCACTCCGCCATCCCCCACCCCCCACCCCCGCCAAGGAGAAGTAGGTGGATTGCTGTAAATTCAAGGCCAGCCTGGTCTACAGTGAGTTCTAGGATAGGCTCCAATGCTACACAGAGAAACCCCGTCTCTAAAACAAAACAACAAAGGAAGGAATGGAGGGAGGGAGGGAAGAGAGGGAAGGGAAGGGAAGAGAAGAAAAGATGAAAAGAAAAGAAAAAATGAAAGGGAATATATCTGAAAAGCACAGGCCAGCCACAGTGTCTACCTCTAAGGAGTTTTATAACCCACAAAGAACACACAAAATAGGTGCTTACAAAATTCTACCCCAAGCTTCCTGCACCTTAACATGTTGCAAAGAATAGGTTTCATACTTCAAAGAGCAAACCTTACAGTGAAAATGAGCCCCGACTATGTGCCACTGTATAAACTATTCCCAACATAAAGGTTGAACCTAAAAGCCTCTCCATGGTGTGTGGTGGAGCATGCTTTAATCCTGCACTAGGAGGTAGAGGGAGAAAAAGATGCTAACATTTAGACAAGGAAAGCCACCCGAGCCCTCTGAGATCTGGGACAGATACTCAGCTCCAGGCTACTAAGCAGAACTGGAAATGCCATCAACGAAGTGAGCATGTTACATGCTACATTCATCAGAGGAGGCTGCATGGAAGCTGGCAGGCTGACAGATGGACAAAATGTCTATTCATACACACTCAGCACCAAAAGACCTCCCCTCTCCTGCCTATGCCTTCTCCGGCATGTGTGGCTTTGATATGAGTGTTTTCTGGGCTGCTGAGAGTATCAGATGTGTTTGTCATGAGAAGATAAGTGCTCCCCACTAGAGGCTCTCTCGCGGTACACAGAACTCAGCCCAGACTCAAGCCTCAGGACAAAACCACCAGCGCTTTAAAGGCTCAGCTCAGCCCATCGCCAGAAGCAGCTCACACAAACCCACTGGCCTCTAAGTACCACAATTCAAATGAGTAGTTGTCACAATTATTTTTCATATGCAAAATGGAGAGTCTTCTGGCTGGAGGTCCTGGACGCTACCGACAAGGGAAACTGATCTAGCAACTCCTCCTCTTCCGGGCAGAGCAACCATTAGAAGGTGAGTGCGGTGTGAAAATGAGAGACATGGAGGGCGATGCCATTTATAGCATCGAGTGACCCTGTCCTAACACAAGAGCTGGCATACCATTGCCTGTAAATTCAAACCTGATGGAGGTATGTGGGCTCACACCCGCCTTTCCCATGTACTACAACCACTGGCTCTGACTCTCAGCCTTGTCACCTGCCTGCTGTCCCAAGCTTAGCTCATATCATCCAGTGCAGGACACTCAGGCCTCTACAAGTGACCATGGAGACTGCTCTCTGCCCAGGTGAGTTCCTGGGCAATCATATACCACACCAAGGTGTCTGGGCCAGAAAACTTTAAAGAACCCTGTTTGGTTTGCATCCAGACAAAATGTGGTGATGCCTCACACACACTGTCTAACTCCCTTCGGGTTCAAAAGTATCTTCAAAGCCCTAGTCTTGCTGAGGAGTGCTTCCTGGATCCACACCACCAAACCCGGTCCAGAAAACTTCACATTGCAGGCCTCAGCGCAGCACCTGCTGTCCTCCGGCACCCAGACTCCAGACCCTGGACAGCTTCTTTTAAAAATTATAGCTGGACAGTGGTGGAGCACGTCTTGATCCTAGCAATCTGGAGGCAGAGGTAGGCAGGTCTCTGTGAGTTTGAGGCCAGCCTGGTCCTCAGAGAAGGACAGCCAGGGCTACACAGACAAACCCTAATTTGAAGAAAAAAAAGAAAAGGAAAGGAAGAAAATGGAAATAAATACAATTCTAAAGAGCTAGCAGGCACACACAGTATGTGTATCAAAGTTTCTGCCAAACACAAGCTCGCAGTTTAGTTGAGAAGTGGCAGCTGTTATTAAAATAGAAATGTATCCGATTCATGATAGACAGTACAATGAAATAAAATAATGTTTTAAAAAGATTGAAATTCGAACTTGGGAGGCTTTTTTTTTTTTTAATCTAGGGAGGGATATTTCTAGCCGGCAGTGAGGCAGAGTCTCCTTGGATTATCCAAATTGAGATTCTCCACCAGTCCCGGCTCAACAGGCTGCCTCTTACTCATGTTTCACTTCTGAAAAGTAGGAGTTGGGACTAAAGGCCCCTGTGCCCCTTCCAGACACTCATTTCCCATCTCACAGCAGAAACTGCAGGCTGGTACTCACCAGTAGACACTACCTGTCTTGTTTTGTCTGTGTGCATTTTTCATCTGCGGGTTTATCTTCATTAATTGAATATAATGTCATGTACAGTTAGATGCTTTTAGACAGTCTTCCTGTGCAGCCCAGCTAGCCGTGGACCCACTGTCCTCCTCCATCAGTCTCCCAAGTGTTGGGATTACCAGAGAATGCTACGGTGCCCTGGCAAGTGTAATGCTTTTAAGTTCGTCCTCCAATATTCCAGAGTCCCTGGCACCTGTCCTGCTGCCCCAGTCTGTCTCACGCTGATAGCTCCTGTGCAGACCTTGACGGACTTGACTCATGACACCCGCTCTCCAAGGAGCTGGGACTGCTCGCCATGATGGAAGCCAAGTAGCAGCAGCAAGGTTCTGACGGAGACAGAACTCTATCTTGCAATAAACTGACTGATGATGACAGCAGGGATTCTCACCCCTAAAGAGCCATCTTGCCAGCCAGGTAGTGATGGCACAGGCCTTTAACCTCGAGAAAGTTCCAGGGTTGCACAGAGAAACCATTTCAGAAGGGCGGGGGGAGAGCCATCTTGCTAAGAAGTTGGTCTAGAGATGTTTTCTGAGTGAACACAGAGTGATGGGTGCCTTCTCACAGTTGGCTGTAGCCAATCAAGCACATCTGATCGTGACTGCCAAGGCACAAGATGTTTCTCAGCTTTGCAGTTCTCAATAATGAAGACCATTATGTCTTCGGACTGTTCTCATTACGAATCAGTTTGCCCACACGCAGTTCCTGATATGATGCAATGGACAGGCTCGGGGGCACTACCCAAGGCCAAACTTAGACTAAGGAAAGAACACAAGCTTCACCTGGCATAGAAAAAAGCAGGTGAGTTTGAGTGAGGTAAACACAGAATACAGCAAGATATGGTCTCAGTGTTCAGCTGCATCCACCTTCACGGAAACCTTGCTGAAGACTGATGTCTCAGCTCCTAGCCACCTTCCGTTGCTGTAATCAATTTCCATGACCAAAGGCTATTAAGAGTTTATTTTTACTTATAGTTCCAGAAGGCCAGACATCCATAATGGCAGGGAAGGCACAGCAGTAGGAGTAGAAAGCAGAGAGATCACATCTCAGGAAGCGGTGTTCCAACTGGAAGTGGGGCCAGGCTACAAACACCAAAAGCCCACCCCCAGAGAGCAAGGCTCCACCACCTAAAGGTTCCACAGCCTCCACAAACAACAGTGCCAATGTGGGGGGTGACACCAAGAGTTGACGTTCATAAGCATGGCAGACATTCCTCATTTAAACCACTAGAGCTGATCTCAATGTGTGAATTGAGAAAATTTGAAAATTTTTTAAATTTTAGTTTTACTTTATGTGTATGAATGCTTTGCCTGTTTGTATATATGTGCACCACATGCATGCTTGATCCTCTTGAACTAGGATCACAGATGGTTATAAGCCACCATGGGTGGGTACTGGAAATTGAACCCTCCCTGGTCTTCTACAAGAGTAACAAATACTTTCAACCACTGAGCCATCTCTTCAGACCAAATTTTGTGGCTTTAAAACAATTTTTTGTTTTGTTTTGCTTTGTTTTTGTTTTTTGTTTAGGTTTTCAAGACAGGGTTCCTTTGTGTAGCTTTGGAGCCTGTTCTGGAACTCTCCCTGTAGACCAGGCAGGCCTCAAACTCATAGAGATCCGCCTGCCTCTGTCTCCCAAGTGATGGGATTAAAGGAGTGTGCCACCATCGCCCGGCTAAAACAATTTTTATTACTGTAGAGTATTACCATCCCCCCATGGACTGGATGACAATAGCTCCAAGTGCTAACAAGGAATCTTCACAATCTTAGAGCTTAGAGTTAAATGTGCTGCTGTTTGCCAAGGAACACAAACACAAAAAACAGAAAGCAAATTCCATACAAATAATATTTACACTGTACATAGGACCTGCAGGAAGATGAGCTTATTTTAGATTTACTTGTTTATTTATTATGTATACAGTGTTGACATCCGATCTCATTATAGATGGCCATGAGCCACCATGTAGTTACTGGGAATTGAACTCAGGACCTCTGGGAGAACAGTCAGTGCTTTTAACCTCTGAGCCATCTCTCCAGCCCAGAAGATGAGCTTTATGTAGCTACCATCATTTGTACAGATGTGGATGCAGTCATGAGCCATTGCTGTAAAGCTTTTGATTGTGATATACAGAGATGCAGAGACACATAACACACACCTGCACAGATCATCACATTTGCCTTGTTAACTGTTACACAGCAATCACCACCTCCATTTCCAGAACCTCTCTTCATTTTGTAAACCAATGCTCTGAAACATTAAAGGACAGTTCCATGTCCATTCCCTGGCCCTGATCACCACTGTGTCTACTCTGCAAGTTTGCTGTTTTAGAAATTTCAGCTGAACGAGTCCTACAGAGTTTGTCGTTATTTCTTAGCATGACAGTGTGCTTTGGCGATAACCCGCTAAGGACATGCAGCCTGTCATGACTTTACAATCAACTGGGATTTTAAGGCAGGAAAAGCATGTGCTGAAATCTGCTGTAATGGGGCTGGAGAGATATCTCAGAGAGGAAAGGCACCTACCACCAGGTCTGTTGACCTAAGTTCCATCCCCAGGTCCCACAAGGTGGAAGAGGAAAATGAACTTTCAGAAGTTGCCCTCTGGCTTCCACACACGCACGGTGGCACACCTACACAGTCTTACGAACTAACCCAAGCAGGAGCTTGGAGCAGGGGCTTCTGGTATATAAAGCTCAGAATATCTGGGCTCCACTTCCCAAGTTCAATAGCACAGAATGTCACATTGGGAGAGCTGGATGTGGGAGCTCACCTAATTTAAGAAAACTCAAAATGAATCCACTCTTTCCTTAAGAATTCCACAGTCCATCTGGTACTTGCTATATTTACTCAGATCTGTACCAAAAAATAAAGGCTATTTAGAGCATGTTGTTATGGTTTCTGAAAGGTTCTTCCATCTACTAGAGAATATCACAGACACACAGAAATCAACTCAAAGAGGAAGTTTTAAAAACAGCAGCCCTGGCCAGGCAGGGCAGCAAACCTTCAGTATGACCCTGGGAGAATGCATAATCCAGAAGAGGATTGTTCAACCTCACAAGGGCACTTGGAAATGAGATCCAGACTCCAGCTCCTGAGCCCCACATCAGAGGGTACCTCCCTGCTGCCATTACCAGAAGCAGGAGGTGTGATGGGAAATAGAACGCAGTTTGCCAAGCTTCATCTTTAGACTCAGCTACCTGCTTTATTCAGACCGAGTTTGCCTCCACCAGTGACCCTGGTCAAGCTTCATTACATCTCTGTGCTTCAGTTTCCTAGTCTGTTCAGAGTTACAGAATGATGCCTAAGAGGACCGGGCGCGGGGAGAGGGGGTGTTTGTGAAGCGTTGAGCCTACCAGACTTGGCATGAAAGCTTGACAAATGTGAGCAGCCCCTGAGGCAATGGCCACTATAGCTCCCCAGGGGCTGATGAATAAAGGCCTTGTAAATTTTAGGCTGATTGTGTTTTTAACTTTATACAAACAAGAAATATAGTACATCCTTCAAGGGATGAGTCTTTAACCCATTCTCTAAGGGATGAGTGCAGACTGGCTCACGTGGAGAGAATACCACGTGAGGACACACACGAGGACACACCAACTGTGACAACAAAAGTGGAGATGGCAGACAGCTTGTCAATAATTTAATCTTTTTTAAACGGTCTTGCTTTGTGGCCCAGGCTGGCCTTACAGTCTCAATCCTTCCTCTTCCTGCTTTGTGCTAGGACTTTAGGTATATAGCATCATTGGGGTGTGCTGGTGCATGCCATTAACCCTAGCACTTGGGAGGTAGAGGAAGGTGGCTCTCTGTAAGTTCCAAGCCAGCCAGGGTCACATAGTGAGACTGTCTTAAAGAAGAAGAAAAGGAGAAGAAGAAGAGGAGGAGGAGGAGGAGGAGGAGGAGGAGGAGGAAGAATAATAGCTTTTGTAGGTCAGCACAATGGCTCATCGGATAAAGGGACTTGCCACCAAACCTAATGACCCAAGTTTGATCCCAGGGTCCACATAGTGAAAGGAGAGAAATAACACCCTCAAATTGTCCTCTAACCTCCACTTAAAGCTCTGTGTGTGTGTGTGTGTGTGTGTGTGTGTGTGTGTGTGTGATGTTTTACTCTTTTGGATTTTTGGGGGGCCCACCACTAGCTCCCAAATAAATTACACATGGAGGCTTATAGTTATGAATTCCTGGCCTTGGCTTGCTAAGCGTTTCTTAACTTATCCTGACTACCTTCCGCCTCTGGGCTTTTTCCTTTCCTTACTTCTGCATATCTTTCACTCTTACTCCATGGCTGACCAGGTGGCTGGGTGGCCCCTAGTGTCCGCCTTTCCTTCTCTCGTTGCTCCTCCTCTTTCTCATTTCTTCTCCTCTTTATTCTCTCTGCCTGCCAGCCCAGCCTACCCTTGCTCCTGCCTTGCTATTGGCCATTCAGCACTTTATTAGACCATCAGGTGTTTCATACAGGCAAAGAATCACAGTTTCCCTGAGGTAAACAAACGCAGCAGAAACAAAAGCAACACATCTTTCCATCACTAAACAAATGTTCCAGAGCATAAACAAAAATAACACACCTTAAAATATTCTACAATGTGAATGTATGTGTGTGATAAGCAAATAAACAAAACACAGTTTTATAAAGATTAGAGCTTTGCAAATACAAGCAAGGAACACCACCGAAGCTGTTGGCGTACACTGCAAGCAGGACAGACAGTTTGCCCTTGAGATCCAAGACCCAAAAAAGCAGCAAGCACTTAGCACTGATCTGTGGCAGCTCCGGCCTGAGAAAATAAATTTCTGATGTCTTAATTCTAGCACTATGTGGTGCTTTGTTACCTGTGATGCTCAGTCCTAACTGTCAACATGATGAGATATAAACTCACCTGGAAACAAGCCTCTGGGCATGCTTGTTGGAAAGTTATCTTCCTTGGATTAATAAAATGAGACACACTAGGCAGTGGTGGTACACATCTTTGATCCCAGCACTCAGGAGGCAGAGGCAGGTGGATCTTTGTGAGTTTAAGGCCAGCCTGGTCTACAAAGTGAGTTCCAGGACAACCCGAGCTGTTACACAGAGAAACCCTGTCTCAAAACATACCCCTCCAAAACAACACAACCACAACAAAAAGGATGAGACCCACCCACTGGGAGTAGCACTATTTCCTGGGTTGGACTTCTGGACTGTGTACAACTAGGAAAGTGTGCTGAGCTAACAAGCATTCATTGCTCTCTTCTTCCAGACTGTAGACTAAATGTACTAAGCTCCTGTGGTCATGTCTGCCCTACCAGGATGGCCTGTGTCCTGCAACTGTGAGTCAAAACAAGCCCTTCGTTCTTCAAGGTGCTTTTGTTGCTTTTTATCACAGCGTTAGAAAAGGACAC